TTTCAAAGGGGCAGGAGGGCTCCCTGGCCTGACCATGGCGGAGCGGAGGGGGGAGCGGGGGGGGCAAACAACAGGTTTGCAATGGCTATTAACATCCTGCCACATGGGCGTCTCAATCTTTGACACCGCTCCAGTGAGCAGATCCAGGGGCTGCGTTTTGCCAGCAGGCCCCCTGCCCTCAGCAGCGCGGTGCACCCTCCCGTTTGCCTCGGCATTTTCTCACGGCTGACAATGAAATTGGGAAAGATGCCAAGTCCACGCTCCACCTGCGTAATTCTCTGAGATATGACAGAATAAGCAAGCCTAACGCACCACAGAGACAAGACTAGGCTGTGCTTCAGCCACCGTCACGAGGCCCAAGCGATGCTTGGATGTACAGCGTGCTGCTCCTCAGCCGCCTTTGGAACAGCCACAGCGAGCGCTAGTTTGCAGCAAGCCGTTGGGGCTAACGATGGAAGATCTGTTTCTTGATTTGCACAGGCACGAGCTGACTGTGAACCAGGTAACCCGCCGGCTTGACTGCTGTCGTAGGCTGGAATAATTGATCGGCACGGCCCAGCTTCCTCTGCTGACCCAGACCCCGGGTTTGGTTTGTCACAAGAAACAGATAAACTGCCTGTGTGCGTAGGCACTGCGCACAGCTGGCCGCCCACAGCGTGTGTGTGTCTGGCTGCTCTGGGATACAGAGGGGGCGGGGGGTGTCTGTGTATTGGCCTTGGAAATACTGCATTTTAACCTACCCAGGTGTTGGTTTGGGTTCTTTTGTTCGTTTTATCGTCTCCTGTGTTTCTGTGATGTGGGAAGTGGAGTGCTGCGCTGCCTTAAAACCCGCCACCGCGTAGCCACTAGTTATGACGTGATAAAGTTACAATCCAATGCATTACGGGAAAAAGCATTACTCTTCAATCTGATTGCCATTTATTATTCACTAGATACAGAGTCACTCACGCTCGAATACCAGGGAATCGCATATAGGGGAAACAGTAATGCACACACCAAACGGAGAAGGACATTTCTCCTGTGTTACAACTTGGCATTAACATGAATTGCAACGAATGGATCTTCAGCATTGTTACTAATCTGGAAATTAGCCATTCCATCACCAGAAACATGCACCTCTTTTCCAGTGCATCTGTCGTCCTCCTTTTGTCCAGAAATAACATCGCAGTAGGTACCAGCAGGCAGCCCAGTTTGCACATTGACATTCATATTCCTGTGTGAAAATAAGTGAACGCTATTTATCCATTGTTTTCAAAAGAGGTATTTCAAACTGGGTACAGGATTTTTGAACCTGCTGCTACTCCCTTACTTTGAAGGGCAATGTACAGTGTGAGCTTTCTGATCCTATCCCTGCTTTGCTCCCTACACTCCCGTTCTGGCTCTCTAGAGCCGGCATGCAACTGAATGACTAGTTCAGGCTGTAGTGGTCGCTCTCGTCAGGAGAAGAGGACGTTCCCCTTCCCATCAGTATGGCTGATGAGGAACGCTGTGCTTCTCTCTGGGGACACCGCCTCTCCCACTGACTTACCAGTCGTCATTATTAAAGACGATGAAGCCTTTATTACCACGGCCAAAAGCTACTTGATTGCTGCCGTTGTCCCACCAGTTGGAGAAAGGCTCACCGTCCACCACGTTGCGGAAGATAACCATGTTCCTGAAAATGCAGGGAACGGCTCTCACTGTGGCTGCAAGAGCTCTAAAGCCACGAGGAACGTGAAGCAAAAGCAACTGCTTTCACTTATTTTTTTCTCCACAGTGTCCTACTTTATTTGACGCCAGCGATGTTCACAAACCCAGTCGTTGCCACAGGTAGTGTCTGCATTGATTGCAACAGGCTTTGTTGACCCATCCGAGTTACTCGGTGGTCCAACCCAGTCATTGACGTCCTGTAATTAAAAAGAGAACTTTAAAACTTCTTACTGAAAATGCAGAGAGCCTCTCTGTAGAGAAAAGATAGATGGAGCATCAGATTTCCACCTGCTAGATCCAACATGGGACAGAGAAATCACTTCACAAATTCAAATGCACTGGACTGCTTCTCTGGCCCTGTTCTGATCCTTACGCACCATGAATGTATCTATCTTCAGTGTTCCCAGCTTACCCGTCCATTCACAAAAGATCTTGGCCAGCGAAAACTTGACATCACACGTGTGAACCCATATGGGTGAGCAAGCATGAAACCAACGGCCATTTTATAAAGCCTGTTCATTAGACAAAGAAAGTAATGAGACGTGGAAAGAGAAACCATGCCAGAGAACAGAGAGACAAACACGCAAAAGGAAGAAGCAGCGCCCCGACAAGAGCAATCCCTTCCTTACCTGGAGTCCCAGAAGGTTAGAATGGAAGCTCCACCAGCCCCATGTCCCCGCTGGTTGTCGTGATTATCCACAAAGACCAGGGCTCTGTCGGAAGGCACGAAGCCCCAGCCTTCTCCCCAGTTCCTAGCCGAAAACACAAAGACTTGAAGCTACCCTGTCAAATGGTGTATCCCGGATAAGTCGCAGCATCGTCATCCTTACTTTAAGTAGGCCATCTTCTCTCCATTCCACTTGCGGATCACTGTCCCCAGTTTTGCACCGTATTTGAACTCTGTCACTCGGCCGTTTCCAAAGTAGTCACTGCCTTTGATCGGCTCTCCACCCAAGTCAATTACCTGGTACAGGAAACAGAAACCGTGCATCTGTTCTCGTCTCAAGAGAGACAAAAATTGCAGTGTACAGTCCTCGACATTAGTTCTCGCTTTACATTGAGAGGAGAAAATATTCAAGTGTGTTTATTTCTGCTACGTAGATCGGCCCGAAGTCAATCTAATACATGATGCACACAGGCAAAGAGATGAGTCAAGAAAGAAAAGGTAAAGTTAAATCACAATCTCTTCTGGAGGCAATTTTAAAAAGCAAAACTACTTGAGTCTGCAGGGCTGCTCCAAAGAAATGGCTAGCTTTTTCTGGCGTAAAGTTGGATGAAGATGTATTACGGCCCATACTCTGAAGGAGGAAGGTAAAAGAGATAGCAAAGACAAACATAAAGGAAAAAAACATGGAGATTACCTCCTGGTAAATGAAAGGTTTTGCTCCTGCAGAAAACCATTTCGTATTTAGATCTTTCAGCTTGTCTAAAATTGCCTTCAGATCCCCAGGCCACATATGCTTGGCAGCATCAATTCGGAAGCCTGCTACGCCGATATCAATGAGGTAGTTCATGTACTCGGCAACTTTTGAGCGTACGTAGTCCTTCTCTAGGGCCAGATCAAGAAGGCTAACCAAGCGACAGTC